CTTCCTTCCGAGGAGTGGCTGGTGGGTTTGAACCGCCAGCCTTCTGGTGAGCAGTCAAGTGCCTTAGGCACTATGCTACCAGAGCTTCTTGGGATCCCTATAATCCCTTGCAATTGACTCCTTTATCTTGGGAAGGGTTTTGAGGCAGAGTGAGAGACTTAGGAGGAGTGATCAACAAAGTTTCTTAAATAGATAAATAGTTGGCACAGGTAAAAGGCCCTATTAAATGGGATTATAATACCTGGAGGATAAAACTCTGTGAATTTGGATGTTATATGTGTGATCAAATTTAGAAGAGATGAATGGGGAGAGTTTTGGAAATGGGCTATCCACCCCTTGTGCCTAAGGCACTTGACTGCTAACCAGAAGGCCGGAGGTTCAAACCCACCAGCCATTCCTTGGAAGGAAGATGGGGCAATCTACTTCCGTAGTGATACTGCCTCGGAAACCCAAGGAGGGGTCGCTATGAGTCGGATCCGACTCAACGGCACATAACAACAACAACAACAACCCCTTGTCAAATCCCTGCTGTGAAGTTAGCTGCCTATAAAGAAATACTTAGGACTCCTAGCTGCTGATCTTCCCTGGAAGAACCTCTTTGGGAGTGATATACACTAGAACAGGTGTCTGGCAATGATAAGGGGGTACTAACAGACTTCCTAGGAGTTCTGGTAGCATAGTGCCTAAGGCACTTGACTGCTAACCAGAAGGCTGGCAGTTCAAACCCACCAGCCACTCCTCAGAAAGAAGGTTGGGCAATCCTACTTCCATAGTGATATTGCCTCAGAAACCCAAGGAGGGGTCGCTATGAGTCAGGTCTGACTCGACGGCACATAACAACAATAACAACAACAACAGACTTTCTAGGAGCTCTGGTGGTGTAGTGCCTAAGGCACTTGACTACTAACCCAAAGACTGGTGGCTCAAACCCAACAGCCACTCCTTGAAAGGAAGATTGGGCAATCTACTTTTGTAGTGATACCTCCTGGGAAACCCAAGGATGGGTCACTATGAGTCAGATCTGACTCAACAGCAGTGAGTAACAGACTTTCAGCTCCTATCATAGTGTTCTTTCCTCTCAAGAGGAGCATCCCAAATTGAGCTACTTCACTATATTATAGAGGAGAGAAGGTGGAGAGGAGAACTACCCTATAGCTTCAACAGGCAAAGTTGCCATGTATGGTTTTACACACTGTGTACTGTAGCAGAGTGTTATAGATTGAATTGTGTCTTACCAAAATATGCGTCAACTTGGCTAGGCCACGATTCTCACTATTAAATAATTATCCTCCATTTTGTGATCTGGTGTAATTATCCTATGTGTCATAAATCCTAACCTCTATGATGTTAATGAGGCAGCATTAAAGGCAGTTAGGTCAATGAGGCAAGTCACAATCTACAAAATTAGGGTGTATCTTGAGTCAATCTATTTTGAAATATAAAATAGATTAAACAAGTGAACAGACATACAGGGACCTAACCATCACCAAGAAAGAAGAGCTGGGAGCAGAGTGCATCCTTTGGACCTAGGGTACCTGTGATGAGAACCTCCTAGACCCAGGGCAGGATTGATGTCAGCACACATGTAAATCTCCAAGGAACACCCATGGGGCCCACGGATATTAAGAGAAGACAAGGACTTTCCCTGAGAGCTGACAGAGAGAGAAAGCCTTCCCCTAGAGCTTGTTGTTGTTATGTGCCGTCAAGATGGACCTGATTCATAGCGATCCCTCTTTGGGTTGCTGAGGCAGTATCACTAGGGAAGTAGATTGCCCAACCTTCCTTCCGAGGAGTGGCTGGTGGGTTTGAACCGCCAGCCTTCTGGCCTAAGGGCCTTAGGCACTATGCTACCGGAGCTCCCCACTACAGCTAGTGCCCTGAATTTGGATGTCTAGCCTCCTAAATTGTGAGAGAGTAAATTCTGTTTGTTGAAGCCATCCATTTGTGGCATTTCTGTTATAGCAGCACTAGATAGCTAAGAAGGAGCTCTGGTAGTATAGTGCCTAAGGCACTTGACTGCTAACCAGAAGGTTGGAGGTTCAAACTCACCAGCCACTCCTCAGAAGGAAGGTTGGGCAATC